TTGATGTAGAAGAGACATGAAGAAGAGGGGACACATGTTGAAGTAGAAGAGACATGAGGAAGAGGGGACACATGTTGATGTAGAAGAGACATGAAGAAGAGGGGACACACGTTGATGTAGAGAGAAGAACATGAAGAAGAGGGGACACAAGTTGATGTAGAAGAGACATGAAGAAGAGGGGACAGTGTTGTTGATGTAGAAGAGACATGAAGAAGAGGGGACCATGTTATGTAGAAGAGACATGAAGAAGAGGGGACACACGTTGATGTAGAAGAGACATGAAGAAGAGGGGACACAAGTTGATGAAGAAGAGACATGGAGAAGAGGGGACACATGTTGATGTAGAAGAGACATGAAGAAGAGGGGACACACGTTGATGTAGAAGAGACATGAAGAAGAGGGGACACATGTTGAAGTAGAAGAGACATGAGGAAGAGGGGACACATGTTGATGTAGAAGAGACATGAAGAAGAGGGGACACACGTTGATGTAGAAGAGACATGAAGAAGAGGGGACACAAGTTGATGTAGAAGAGACATGAAGAAGAGGGGACACATGTTGATGTAGAGACATGAAGAAGAGGGGACACATGTTGATGTAGAAGAGACCATGAAGAAGAGGGGGACACATGTTGATGTAGAAAGAGACATGAGAAGAGGGGACACTGGTGATGTAGAAGGACCTGAAGAAGAGGGGACACACGTTTATGTATAGAAGAGACCATGAAGAAGAGGGGACACAAGTTGATGTAGAAGAGACATGAAGAAGAGGGGACACATGTTGATGTAGAAGAGACATGAAGAAGAGGGGACACATGTTGATGCAGAGAAAGAAGAGACATGAAGAAGAGGGGACACATGTTGATGTAGAAAAGACATGAAGAAGAGGGACACACGTGATGTAGAAGAGACATGAAGAAGAGGGGACACAATGTTGATGTAGAGAGACATGAGGAAGAGGGACACATGTTGATGTAGAAGAGACATGAAGAAGAGGGGGACACACGTGGATGTAGAAAGAGACATGAAGAAGAGGGGACACATGTTGAAGTATAAGAGAGACATGAGGAAGAGGGGGGACACATGTTGATGTAGAAGAGACATGAAGAGAGGGAGGACACATGTTGATGTAGAAGGAGACATGAAGAGAGGGGACACACGTGATTGTAGAAGAGACATGAAGGAAAGAGGGGACACATTGTTTGCTGTAGAAGAGACATGAAGAAGAGGGGACACATGTTGATGTAGAAGAGACATGAGGAAGATGGGACACATGTTGTGTAGAAGAGACTAGAGAGGGGACACATGTGAGTTAGAAGAGACATGAAGAAGAAGAGGGGAACAACGTTGGATGTATAAGAAGAGACATGAAAGAAGAGGGGACACATGTTGATGTAGAAAGAGACATTGAAGAAGAAGGGGACACATGTTGAGTAGAGATATGAAGAGGGAACACATGTTGATGTAGAAGAGACATGAAGAAGAGGGGACACACGTTGATGTAGAAGAGACATGAAAGAAAGAGGGGGACACACGTTGATGTAGAAGAGACATGAAGAAGAGGGGACACACGTTGATGAAGAAGAGACATGAAGAAGAGGGGACACATGTTGTGTAGAAGAGACATGAAGAAGAAGGGACAATGTTGATGGTAGAAGAGACATGAAGAAGAGGGGACACACGTTTGATGAAGGAGAAGAGACATGAAGAAGAGGGGACACATGTTGATGTAGAAGAGACATGAAGAAGAGGGGACACTGTTGCTGATAAGTAAGAGACATGAAGAAGAAGGGACCACATGTTGATGTAGAAGAGACATGAAGAAGAGGGGACACATGTTGATGTAGAAGAGACATGGAGAAGAGGGGACACATGTTGATGTAGAAGAGACATGAAGAAGAGGGGACACATGTTGATGTAGAAGAGGACATGAAGAAGAGGGACACCTGTTGATGTAGAAGAGACATGAAGAAGAGGGGGACACATGTTGATGTAGAAGAGACCATGAAGAAGAGGGGACACATGTTGATGTAGAAGAGGACATGAAGAAGGAGGGGACACATGTTGATGTAGAAGAGACATGGAGAAGAGGGGACACATGTTGATGTAGAAGAGACAAGAGACATGAAGAAGAGGGGACACATGTTGATGTAGAAGAGACATGAAGAAGAGGGGACACATGTTGATGTAGAAGAGACATGAAGAAGAGGGGACACATGTTGATGTAGAAGAGACATGAAGAAGAGGGGACACATGTTGATGTAGAAGAGACATGAAGAAGAGGGGACACGTGTTGATGTAGAAGAGACATGAAGAAGAGGGGACACATGTTGATGTAGAAGAGACATGAAGAAGAGGGGACACATGTTGATGTAGAAGAGACATGAAGAAGAGGGGACACGTGTTGATGTAGAAGAGACATGAACAAGTGGACTTTGCATAATAGGGGACTTTAGATGACTCACGATGATGCTGATGGTCTGGTGGAGGCCCGGCCCTGTGGCGGTGCCCCCGAGGATGGCCTGAGCCACGGAGATCAACACGTCGGAGTGGATGTCGGCTCCGTTCCTCTTGAACACCGGGCTCCTCTGCACCTGCACAGTAACAGCACATTCCACACATCAGAACTCTCCTCTTCAGGGCGGCTTTTGATCCGTAATTACTGTTGTGATTTATATATTTCAAGTGTGTTGTTTTAATGTAGATTCTCTGACAGGACTCACCCTGAACGTGATGAGGATCTCTTTACTGCCCACTGACATGCGCACTGACTGACCGTGCTCCACTCCTGAGAGAAAAGAACAGAGAAATACTCACAATCTACAAAACAGATTAAATAAACTGACCACCTATTAGTTACTGTGGTTTATAAACAGAGTACCAGACCTGAGTACTTCTACTTTTACTGAAGCACAACATCCGCGTACTTCTACTTTTACTGAAGTACAACATCTGAGTACTTCTACTTTTACTGAAGTACAACATCTGAGTACTTCTACTTTTACTCAAGTACAACATATGAGTACTTCTACTTTTACTGAAGTACAACATCTGAGTACTTCTACTTTACTGAAGTACAACATCTGAGTACTTTTACTTTTACTGAAGTACAACATCTGAGTACTTCTACTTTTACTCAAGTACAACATATGAGTACTTCTACTTTTACTGAAGTACAACATCTGAGTACTTCTACTTTTACTGAAGTACAACATCTGAGTACTTTTACTTTTACTGAAGTACAACATCTGAGTACTTCTACTTTTACTGAAGTACAACATCCGCGTACTTCTACTTTTACTGAAGTACAACATCTGAGTACTTTTACTGAAGTACAACATCTGAGTACTTCTACTTTTACTGAAGCACAACATCCGCGTACTTCTACTTTTACTGAAGTACAACATCTGAGCACTTCTACTTTTACTCAAGTACAACATATGAGTACTTCTACTTTTACTGAAGTACAACATCTGAGTACTTCTACTTTTACTCAAGTACAACATCTGAGTACTTCTACTCAAGTACAACATCTGAGTACTTCTACTTTTATTGAAGTACAACATCTGAGTACTTCTACTTTTACTCAAGTACAACATCTGAGTACTTCTACTTTTACTGAAGTACAACATCTGAGTACTTCTACTTTTACTGAAGTACAACATCTGAGTACTTCTACTTTTACTCAAGTACAACATCTGAGTACTTCTACTTTTACTGAAGTACAACATCTGAGTACTTCTACTTTTACTGAAGTACAACATCTGAGTACTTCTACTTTTACTCAAGTACAACATCTGAGTGCTTCTACTTTTACTCAAGTACAACATCTGAGTACTTCTACTTTTACTCAAGTACAACATCTGAGTGCTTCTACTTTTACTGAAGTACAACATCTGAGTACTTCTACTTTTACTGAAGTACAACATCTGAGTACTTCTACTTTTACTGAAGTACAACATCTGAGTACTTCTACTTTTACTCAAGTACAACATCTGAGTACTTCTACTTTTACTGAAGTACAACATCTGAGTACTTCTACTTTTACTGAAGTACAACATCTGAGTACTTCTACTTTTACTGAAGTACAACATCTGAGTGCTTCTACTTTTACTGAAGTACAACATCTGAGTACTTCTACTTTTACTCAAGTACAACATCTGAGTGCTTCTACTTTTACTGAAGTACAACATCTGAGTACTTCTACTTTTACTGAAGTACAAGATCTGAGTACTTCTACTTTTACTGAAGTACAACATCTGAGTACTTCTACTTTTACTGAAGTACAACATCTGAGTACTTCTACTTTTACTCAAGTACAACATCTGAGTACTTCTACTTTTACTGAAGTACAACATCTGAGTACTTCTACTTTTACTGAAGTACAACATCTGAGTACTTCTACTTTTACTGAAGTACAACATCTGAGTACTTCTACTTTTACTGAAGTACAACATCTGAGTACTTCTACTTTTACTGAAGTACAACATCTGAGTGCTCCTCCCCCTGTGTTGTTGTGCATGAAGCCACAAACAGCTGTTTAGCGGCTGGAGGTGACCCCACCTGCGGGGACGGGCACGGAGACGGTCTGCCTCTTCTTGGTCTGTCCGGAGCCTCGGCACAGGAGGCAGATGGTGATGATGATGGAGCCTCTTCCTCCACAGCGGCGGCAGGCGCTGCGCATCATGAAGGGACCCGTGTTCATGGACTCCTGCACACAATCAGACTCAGCTTCATTACCAGGTAGCACACATTGGTTCTTACTTTAAAGACAAGTGATTCCAACATAATAATACATTGTTTCTGAGTTATCAATGCCAGTAAGAATCAGAATCAGGTTTATCACCAGGTAGGTCGACACGTACGAGGAATTTTACTTGGTGTCGTGGTGCTTACATAAAAGTAAAACAAAAATTAAAATACAGAGGGAAGCGAAAAAGGAAAAAACATCATAATTGAAGTTGCACGCTGAGATGCGACAGCACGGATCTGACTCTTACTAATGTTGGCAGTTCACACAAGCGGCCGATCACAGTTAGAGTTCTCCGGCCGAAGCTCCAAATAAACCATCAGTGTTTGCATCAAAGTTCCTGCTCTCTCCGTGTCTCTCTGAGTCTCCATTGCTCCAGAAGTCTCCATCACACTTGGGAGTTCAGCTTTCATCTATCTGCAGCTGCTGTGCTCATGCAGGGCATCTGCATGTTTCGTAAGTACAAATGTAATGACTTTAAAGACCTTTTAATACAATACAACTTTATTTATAAAGCACTTTAAACCTCCAGACCAAAGTGCTGTACAGGCAAATAGATAAAACAAAGCACACAAAGAAGTAACACAGCTCAGAGCTCACACACCATAAAACAAGTACAAGTAAAAACAAAAAACAATTTAAAAGCAAAAAAGCAACACTCTGAAAGATGTTGAAACGCCAAATGTTAAAACGCTAAGGAGAAGAGGTGTGTTTTAAGAAGCGATTTAAAAGCAGGCAGTGTGGAGGCCGGTCTGATCTCCAGGGGCAGAGCGTTCCACAGTGTGGGAGCCGCTACAGAGAAGCAGCGGTCCCCTCTGAGCTTTGACCTGGTTTTAGGCACATTCAGGGGCCGTTGGTCCGCTGACCTGAGAGGGCGGTTCGGCGTGTAATGCTGTAGCAGCTCAGCAAGGTATGCTGGGGTCATGCCATTCAGGGATTTAAAAGTAAATAAAATAATTTAAAAATGGATCCTAAAATAAATTGGCAGCCAGAAGCTAAAACAGGGGACATGTGGTCATACTTCCGTGTGCCAGTCAAGAGCCTTGCTGCGGCATGTTGCACCCGCTGCAGTCGTGCGAGGGAGGACCCACTGACCCCCATGTAGAGAGAGTTACAGTAGTCCAGCCGGGTGGTGACAAAGGCATGGATTACTGTCTCAAACTGCTGTCTGGAGAGAAAAGGTTTTACTCTGGCTAGCTGCCTCAGGTGATACAAGCTCGTTTTTACCTCTGACTCTCAAGTTTGAGTTCACGGTCCATTTTAATACCAAGGTTCGTGACGGTGGGCTTGGTGTACTGATGCAAGGAACCCAGGTCTACAGCAGTGGTGTCAGTGGTGCTACCAAAAACCATTACTTCTGTTTTTCCTTCATTGAGTTTAAGGAAATTGCACGCCATCCAGGCCTTTATGTCATCTAGGCACTTTAGCAGTGGGCTAATTGAGTAACCCTCCTTCTTTGTTAGAGGGACATACATCTGGCTATCGTCAGCATAGCAGTGGAATGCGATGCCGTGCTTTCTAAAAATGGACCCAAGAGGGAGCAAATAGAGGGAGAATAGCAGGGGGCCTAATACTGAGCCCTGTGGGACCCCATACAGGAGTGGAGCAGAGGATGACTCGGAGTCACCAAGGCTGACAGAGAAAGTTCTGTCCTTCAAATATGACCTGAACCATTCCAGGGCTTTTCCCTCAATGCCCACTTCTCCAAGCGGGAGATCAGGATGTCATGTTCGACTGTATCGAAAGCAGCAGTTAAGTCAACAAGTAGGAGCACAACGCAGTCCCCAGAGTCAGTAGATAAAAGGATGTCATTAAAGACTCTTAAAAGCGCTGTTTCAGTGCTGTGCATAGTTTTAAAACCGGATTGGAAAACCTCCAGTATGTTGTTCTCTTCCAGAAAAAACATAATTTGACTGTAGAAAATCTTCTCCAGGATCTTTGACATAAAAGGCATTTTGGAAATGGGCCTAAAATTAGCCAGAACTGTGGGATCCAGGCTGGGTTTTTTTAATACGAGGTTGCACTACTGCATGCTTCAGGTTTTCGGGGACCTTCCCTGAGAGCAGGCTGCTGTTTAAAACTGCCAGCACAGATGGTCCAACAGTGGGGAAAACCTCTTTAAAAAGTCGAGGCGCGACAGGGTCATTTGGAGAACCAGAGGGCTTTAACTTGGAGACAATCTCCTGTACAAAAGACAGAGCTACATGCTCAAACTGATTAAAGACAGCAGAACACGGTGCAGGAACTGAGGGGTCAATTGCAGGAGCAGAGATTTGAGTTTCTAGTGGAGTTTACCTTATTAGAAAATCTTCACAGACCGCAGTAGAGGTCTCCATAGAGCTATTCTGGGGGGCATTAAGGACCAAATCAATAGTCTGGAACAGAACACGTGGCTTATGACGATTTGACAGAAAGATGTCAGATAAAAGTTTGCTTTTTGCCTCTTTCACAGTGATCCGATAGAAACGCCAACACTCCCTCAACATTTCAAATGAAACTTGCAGTTTGTCCTTTTTCCATTTCCGCTCAGCTCTACGGCAATCCTGTCGGACAGCCCGAGTCGTGTCATTTAACCAAGGCTCAGATTTAGTTTTAGGTTGCCTGGTTTTTAAAGGAGCAACAGTGTCTATGGCAGCAAGTAGAGTGAAACCATGAGCAGGGTTCATACACTTTTTCACCAATGATTTTCAATGACTTTTCCATGACTTCTCAATGACCTTTACCTAATTTTCCATGACCAAAAAAAAATGACCACTGAAAATGGTTTATTTTAACATGGAACAGGAAAATAAGGTCTGCATATGAAACATGTAGTGCCTATCTAAAACAAATCAAATAGTAGGCTTACTAGCTTCTACACGCTAAAGCAACTGTAGTCAGGGATGCAAAGTCATCAGGTATGAAAAAGGTGACAAGGATCCGAGCCCCTCGACCCCACGGGATATCGGCTTTAAAATGAGGAATAACAGAGGATTTTAGCAGTCAGAGCAACTAAAGCAGCAGTTAATAATAACAGAAACGCCAAAGAGTTACATCTAATAGAAATATATAAAAGCATTTATTTTAATTGTGTAGCAGTCAGTTTATAATTTTGGCAGTTGAGCATTTTGAAAATGTATTTTCATGCCTCTGTGCAAGGCTTAGTATTTTTATAATACTTTTCTACTTTTACTCAAGTACAACATCTGAGTACTTCTACTTTTACTCAAGTACAAGATCTGAGTACTTCTACTTTTACTCAAGTACAAGATCTGAGTACTTCTACTAGTATTAAGTACAAGATCTGAGTACTTCTACTTTTACTCTAGTACAATCCAGTGGCGAGCTGTGACTTTTATACCTAGGCCCTCTGACCCCCCTTCCCTCGAAAAAAAGAAGAGTTATTACGTCTCAATGTAGACTTCAGCGGAATATCAAAACAGTGGTCCGGGGTGCAAAACGCATCAATGACAGCGACCCTCTACCAGAGATGGGGACTCGAGTCTGTGACTCGGACTCGAGTCGCACTTAAGTCGCACACACAGAGACTTCAGACTTGACTTGGACTCCTGCTCAAAAGACTTCGGACTCGACTTGGACTCGAGTTTTGGGACTCGTGAACAATCATTGTGTTTTCTATTTTTGGCGTATTAAAGGTGGGGTAGGTGAGTTTGAGAAACCGTCTCGAGATCGCTAGAATTTGAAAATACACAACCGGAGAAAATCTGCCACTTCCTCACAGAGCCCCTCCTCCAACACACACGAACGCGCACATGACCAATGAGGGCACGAGATAAGTTTGTGCCCCGATGGAAGGCTGACAGGCAGGTAGGCCATCCAGTTACTTTAGCCGGGCCGGCTATCGGGATGTTAAGAGCATTCCATGGAATATAACAACAAGTGTATCTCGAGCCGGTTTCTCAAACTTACCTACCCCACCTTTAACATTAACATTAACATCATGGTAACACCATGGCGACCGGCGGCACACCTGCAGCTGTACAACTTGTAATTAGGTTCAACTATAAAAACTTCGAATAAAACGCAGGCGGCACCAACAAAAGGAGCGCACACTGCAAAGTCTGCAATATTAAAATCAAGGATGCTGGTGCAACAACGTCAAATGTCATCAGGCACTTTAAAACTCACCCGGAGAGGTTAGTCACATTAACGCATATGGACGGTTAGCAAACATGTTTAGCTCAGCATCAGCTATGTAATATTAACTTAGCTTGCTACTAGCTTTGTAACTGAATATTTGAAAAGATGAGTGAATGTTTGCTTGTCACACTTGTTTGCGTTGAGTGGCGTTGACATCCAACTCTTGACATGACATAAAAAAGGTCGGTAACGTTAATCATTACGTTCCGCTGCCACCAGTGCTTGAATTGGAATGAAAAAGGTGCCAGTACTCTAAAATCAGCAACTTTTTCAAGTCAATTTTATATATACAGCCCACAAACAATAATTTGGCTACTATAATGCTGGTGGGTTTGTCTCTTTACTACTGTATATTTTAGAAAGGTTCACTGTACTTAACATTTGTTATGATAGGCAGCGGATATGGCTAAAGCTCAGTAAGGTCAATATTAACTGAAAATATAGCAATCAAAGTCTAGATCTTCTGCTGAAGACACATGAAGCAGAGACCTTTCAGGTGAGAGCCCCTCTGGTGGTGTTCAACATTAATGACAAGGAAACAAAGCTCTGGTCAGAAGCATTTTTTATAAAAAGCTTTAACAAAATTAAGTATTTCTGTACATTTTGAATGCAATCTAACTTTCCAACTCAGAAAACGAAAAACGAAAAAGTGCCAAAAGTCTTCTCACATGGCTGAGCTGCTTTGCAATATACTTCACCACTGAAGAATACAAATATGTATAAAGTAAACTATGATGCAATCTAACTTTCCAACCCAGAAAAATTATAAAGAGCATGAACAAAGAACATGTAAAAACAAATGCAAAATTTGCACAATCTAA